TGTTCTTCACCCAAATTCAACAGTTTATCGGCATATGTTCAAAAGATCAAATACAGTTTTCTGTAGAAAAATGTAAGCATATATTGCTCATGCTCATCTTTGGTTACTATTGCAAACTCTTACTGAATGCCTTAACCTTAGGCAAGTTCAACAAAGGCCATTACACAGTGATGTCAAACCAAATACTCAATATATGAGGAACTAAAAGCAATGGCTATTCAATGATTATTCATACATTGAATCAAATATATCAAACCCGACAACACAGGAATTAAAAAGTCCCAATCAGTCATAGAAATTGTTTATTGACATATTTACTAAACTGCAGTAGGCTCAGCATTCACAGCTCGACAGTGAGCCAGTGTCTATTCATAGATCCGACAAATCAAGCACGAGCGTGCGATTATCCAATCAGAAGAAAGCGCGGAAATCGAACGCTCGCGCTGGTCCCACAAATGACCCACAAATGCTTTCGATTTTTTGTAAATGACATTCTTTGGACGATTTGTCGATAGAATTTCCGATGAATGAATTTTCTGTTTCTTTTGTTAAAAACAATCTGAAGTCAATTTGAAAAAGGCCTAGAGAAATGATTTAATCATTTTTCATGACTTGTACTTTGAGCACTTCGTGCTTTTTCCGTACATTTTGATCCAATTCAAGCATTTTTCTAGGCTAGTTTTTGTCTTGGGAATCAAAATAAATCGTYYTCCATTTCAYCTGGYTGGCTAGCGCTCATCTGCTTTACAAGTGCCCCAGCAACATCTCAAAACCATCTCAATGTCGCCCTACGAACCGACTTACATTTTTTGTGGGACAACATGGCTGCCATTATGTGTCCTCTACTTTGATTGGCCAATCCAGCGCGCGTGGATAACGAGTTTGATTTGTCGGAACTATGAATTGACTACTTCAATGGCCACAGCACTTGCTACTTGTTGTTCCAACTGCAATTCTGTTTTGCCAAATTTAGCTGTTCCACATGTTGTGATGTTTGTGTGTACAACATAAAAATCATTTGGTTGTGTGCAACTTTGGCACAACATTTTAACCAGGATGTAAGCCTATTACAGAGCTTACTAAAAAAATCTTACTAAAGTTACTAGTGTAGCCCAATCTACCAACCTTATACAATAAGAATGCTATATATCATATATCATTTGTTTCACAGTTACGAGTTGTTGGTCAAAACTTTTTTTTTCTATACCAGTAAGGCTGATTTACACGGTACGAATTGTCGCGCGCGGCTATTGTAGTATACGAATTTCCTACTACAAGTCGTAGGATTTTAAGCCGTGGCTCAAAATCCTACTACAAGTCGTAGGTTTCGTGCGACTTTTGTAGACAAGTCGTAGGGGCATTTACACTGCGCGATTCAAGTCGTATACTACAAATCACACGAGACAATTGTGCCGTGTAAATCAGCCTTTAATGGTGTGCCCTTGTTTATTGAATATCATTAATC